CCACCTGCCCTCGAGCACTGTTCCCACTAACCCACGTGAAAGGAGAATCCCCCAAGGGGGCGTATTTCCCCGGGGAGAAAAGCAAGCCACAGGGTAGAAGAACGAGGGAGAAGCATCTTTTGTGTCAAGTCAGGCTGGGAATGAGAATGTGGGCTTGCCACACTGCAAATTGCACCCTTCATGGGGACGCCCGTGTTCCAAAGGCCTCTTTCAACTAACACGTCTTCAGCCCAGCATTTGTCAAATGTCTCCTTTTGTTAACTTGTTGACAAGAGTGAACTTGTCAGCTTTTAAAATGGCTGCGGTCGCTGTGTGCACGCCTAAATGGAAATGTGGGAAGTGCGAGCTACTCCCTTTCACAGTAGATCTTGTCAAGCACTCAGACTTCAGCCGGGCTGCTCCTTCAGCAGGAAAAAAAAAATCTACCTCTGGAAAGGTAACAAGCAGTGATGGGTCCATCAAATTTCTACAGACATCAAAGAAGTCAAATAGAAATAAGTAGGTGAATAGGTATCATCCCCAAAAGAGTTCAAAGGTGATGTGTGCTTTAGCAACGGAATGAAAACGCTACTGTGTTTAAATGTGTTCCCGAACTCCAGACTCAGCCACTCAGTTTACATTACCAGGGGCACAAGACATAACGGGTAACACAATCACAACAGCCAGTATCTTCCCCTTGAAGCAAGAAGACAGGTGGACACAGAGCAGTCTCCACCTGAGAAATGGCTACGACCAATGAACACCCAGAGTGTATGTATTCTTCAGAGCATCTCTGAAGAGCCATATGGCGGGGCTGGTGAGATGGCACATAGGATGGATCACTGGGTAGAGGGGCCTGTACACATGTCTGATAACTGGAATTAAACTCCTGGGGACTACAATAGGAAAGGACCCATTCCTTACAATTGTCCTCTGACCGCTACATGTATGTCATAAATACACACACACAATGAAAAACAAATCAACATCCTAGCTGCCAACACCTATTGCTCTTCTTACTGCTTCACTAAGCTCCTCTTTGAATAAGTGAAATCATCTCCAAAAACCTAGGGTTTCATTTCTGCCCAATCACCAATTCGCTGTCCATTTTGAGTATCCACGTTTTTCCCTGTAGCCCATCAGAGCCTGTAAACCAGATGAGCCAGCCTTGTGCTTGTCACATCCCTACATCCAGGACATCTTGGGGATGTGCTTAAAGGTGTCAAAGGCACTGGGGAAAATTTTTCAATCACCTGCATGAAAAGAAAACTTTCTGGAATGTTCCCTAATTCTTTCCTGCTTCTACCTAGGTAAAGGATGAATTGGATAAGGGGAAGTGGGGGAGGAATTTATCCTCAAATTTCAAAATTTCAAATGCCGAAATCAAACTGTTTTCATAGGTGTACATGTATCTTTAATATGTGGCCATATAGTAATATAAGTACATTATATTATGCACATTAGATTATGTGTATGCACATTAAGTGTTTTTAAATAGAGGAGATATGATATATCAGATAAAGTAAAAGATATAAAGAAACAAAGAAGTAATTATTAGAAATTATAAGGATGGCTGGGGAGCAATGATAGTTGGCAAAGTGCTTTCTGGTTAGCATGAGGCTGGGTAGATTCCCAGCACTCATACAGAAGAACCACTTAGGCTTTAATCTCAGAGCTGGGGAAGCAGAGAGAGTGATGCCCTGGGACTCGGTGGCCAGGCGGCATGTCCATCTTGACAAGCTCCAGGCCAGTGACAGACCATGTCTCAGTGGACAGCATTCCTAAAGAATGATGCCCAGAATTGGCCTCTAGTCTGCATGCACATGTGCACATATTCACATACGTGCATGCATACACATGACCACATACCCCTACCCACCCCCACACAAAAGAAACTATAAAACTTCAGGTTCTTTGAGAACCTAAGACTTAGGCACTGGACATGGAAGTTGCCTTCACAAGAGTAACGAGAGCCATGAATAAAGAGCCACGTGGTCTCCTGTCAAACTTGAAAAGGTGGTTTTAGATTTTTTAATTTTTAGAATTAGAGTACTATTGTTTCTGATAGAAGGACACTATGCAATGTTGCTTTGGCGGTAATGGAATGGAGGTGGGCGCTAATTACCTCGAGGGTGCGTCTCTCTGTCCATGTCCTTGCAGAGGCCCCCAGGCTGCAAACAGTCCTGCATGTTAACATGTGAGGACGAGTGATGTAGAACAGTGCTGGACATGCAAGCGCTTCATGACTATGACCTGGGAGTCTGTATCTTAACTGCATAATGATCCATATTTTAACCTAGCCTATCTTATAAATGATGCTAGTTATGATGACAGAATATGGTTTAAAAAGCTGAGAGAAAGAAAGCCATCAACATTCACTCCTGTCCCAAGGAGGTGGGAAGAGGTCACAGTGCACCCTGCCCTTCAGTGCTGAACAGAGTAGTGGATGGTACCCTAAAAAGGAGACATGGTCTTTGCACGCTTCCTTACACTTCTCAGCGTTGATTTAACTCTACCGAAGGTGATCCACTTTGCCACAGTTAATCTAACACACAAGATAGGTTTATATAATACACAGACTGCTTCGTTACAGCAACCCTCAAGGCGAGGATGCTAATAACGGAGGAGGTGAGAATATAAACATCAGGGCTGAGGAGACTGTTCAACAGGCAAGGTGCCTGCCAGGCAAGCACGTCAGATCCTCAGAACTCACACAAGACCGGACACAGACACCACAGCACTCACTAGTGCTCCCATGGTGACATGTGGGATAGAAAAGGAGAAATGCTAAGCTTGCAGGTAGGTTTGTCTGGCATACACAGCACTGAGATCCCATCTTTTTTTTTGTTTGTTTGTTTTGTTTTTGTTTTTTTCAAGACAGGGTTTCTCTGTGGCTTTGGAGCCTGTCCTGGAACTAGCTCTTGTAGACCAGGCTGGCCTCGAACTCACAGAGATCCACCTGCCTCTGCCTCCCGAGTGCTGGGATTAAAGGCGTGCGCCACCACCGCCCGGCTCTGAGATCCCATCTTAAACAAGGTGGAAAGCAAGGGCTGACATCCAAAGTCATCCTTGACACCCATGTGCACACTGTAGTACCTGTGCACTACCCCCGAACACACAGGTAAACACACATACATATACAGGTGTGAACATACACACACATGTATATGTTACTGATTAAAATCATCACGTATTCATCTTCAAATAACTAATGAACTAAGTAAACAAGATACCCCTTCTTCATCCAGAATCCTAACTAGGACTGAATCAATTGAATCCATTGATAAGATGTATAATGATGATTAATGGCCTAATAATGACTCCGAGGTACCATAAACCCCAAGAACTCACAAATTAATCTTTATAAATGAAATTCAACTTAGTAGTGCTTTCATACACAATGAATTCTAATCTCCCATAAATTATAAATTAATTTAGACTAAATCAAAAGTTGTTAATTGGAATAAAAAGCAATGCTTCCTCTACTTCTGAATTAATAGAGGCTGGTCTGGGCACTTTTCTGCATATTACCACATAAAAAAAGTTCCATAGCCTTGCATTTGATAACAAAAAATTATCAGCTGTGAGCCAGAAAAAAAAAAAAACCATGATGCCAATAATTACCAAGAAGCACAAAATAATCTGTTAAATTGCAATTATATTTTCACACATTTTCATTAACTAAACAACTTCTAAGGCTGAGTTATATTTGCATTTTTGAAAATCTGGAATCTATAATGACTGTACATACCTGTTCAGTCCATATACAATAATGAACTCTACATGTACATTATTCTGAGGGCTTGCCTCATGAATGTCTCAGCATTATCTAGAAGGTATGCTGTAGTTGTTTTACCTACAAGGAGGTGCTGCCATATTGTCAGCTTCTATGTAAATTCTGCCTTCCTGTGCCATTCTGCCACTGAGCTAAGTTCCCAAAGCTTCAGAGTATTTCCTTCTCTCCCCAGCATAGTCTTCTCTACAGCACCCCTGCTGGAAGACTGCAGAATGACAGCTGGCCATTTACAGAGACTGCCTCTGTCCTGTCACCGGATCCAGACCCACTGGCCCAGTACAGCCTTGATGTTTTCAGTTGGGAGTGGGGGTAAGGCTTTTTCTATTCTCAAAAAGAAACCAAGAGACTCTTGAGGGAGCACATCCTTTATTGATATTCTTGCTTTGCTCTAGCAGGCAGGATGCTAAACTGGAGCTGAAAATAGAAGCAGATAAAATACAACTGGATTTTTCTCAAGTCTCCCTGAAGATGGTTAAAACTACACTAGCCTTCTGCATTAGGAACCAGGGAAGCATAGAGATAAATGAACATCTTAGGGTGTAGGAGCTAGGGGGAGATCAAAATGACAGAAGGCAGCACTCGTAGGCGGGAGGTGGGAAGATACCCATGAACCCTGAAACACGAGGAAGAGAGAAGTGGGAATCATCAGTTATTGTGGGAGGGGCTTCCCATGGTCCCCCTTAACCGTAAGGGGGGACTTGAGATATGGTGTAGTCATGACCTAAAGCTCGCTGGTTCTTCTTTCTCTTCCCTCCTCATCTTCTGTCTGTCCTGTTTCCACTGGAGCTCATTATCCCACTAGAGTAAAACCTTCTGCACAATGGAATGGCTGGCCTGGTATTCTCTACAGATTTTATAAATAAAGGCTAAACAAGGTTTCTCACAACATGTAACTCTCCTATACAGAACAGTAAAGGGCACTCTGATCTTAACATGTCTGGTTAAGTTCCTGGAGTACAATGCATATTTAACCAATTTAATACCTTAAAAATTCTCTAAACAGAACTGGCAAAAATGCCCTTGAACATGTCAAGTAAAAATACTGTACATCTATCAAAGACAATTTACCACCTGGAGTTTTCAGTAAAACATTTAGCAAAGCTATGTGCTCACTACCAACACACAGAGAAAAAAATGCCAAGATGTTTTTTAAAAACACATTTAAATATTTAAAATATTAATTTAAAAATCAGTTTGAAGTTTAAGAAAAGCATAATTTACTTACTACTTGTAGGTCTCAGAACGGATATATTCAAAAACATGGGAAACACCAAGCTGGAACTGATCAGCAATTGGGGTGACCCAGGGGTTGTTCTCTGCTTTGAAGACCTGCTTCTGACCAGTTAGATCCAAATTGCCTGAAAAGATGGAGAGAAGGAAAGGGAAGCTGAAGGTTCTGTCATCCAACAGGGTAAGCATGAAGAAATCCTTAAGTACACTAAGTCATTTTTATTTTATTTTTTAAAGCTCTTAGCCCAAATCTTACTGGTACACATAAGCAGTGTTGATGATGATACCCTGATTCAAGAAACTGATACCAAATGGAGGGAGGGAGGAAAGAAGAAGGGAGGGAGGAAGGGAGGGAGGCAGGGAGGAAGGGAGAGAGGAAGGGAGAAAGGGAGGAAGGAAGGGAGGGAGGCAGGGAGGAAGGGAGAGAGGAAGGGAGAAAGGGAGGGAGGGAGGAAGGGAGGGAGGAAGGAAGGAAGGAAGGGAGGAAGGAAGGAAGGAAAGTACAGAGGGAGGAGAAGAGGGGAGGGGAAGAGAGGGGAAGAGAAGAAACAGAAAAGTTCATAAGCACCAACTTAAGAAGATGCTTTGTCCAGTACAGCATGCCATATTTTGCTAGGTTTTTCTATAGAGACTAAAAGTCTTATTCAAGACTGAAAGTGGGACTGGAGAGATGGCTCAGCAGTTAGGACAGTACACTGCTCTTGCACAGGGCCCAGGTTTGGTTCCCCACACCCACATAAAATGGCTCACAATCTCCTTTAACTCCAGTTCCAGGGCAATCCAGAACCTCTGCCTTCATAGCCATGGACAGATTCACCCATGGACATACTCACCCATGCATATAACTAAAATCAAAGTTATTCTCTAAAACAAAAGTTTGAAAGAAGAGATAACATTGAAACCTCCTGGTGACACTTGTGTGTATCGGCATTTCATTTGTATTTTATAAATAAAGCTTGCCTGAGGATCAGAAAAGTAAAACAGTCACACTGGCCAGCCTTATAGACCAGGCAGTGGTGACACACATCTTTAATCCCAGTAGACACACTAGCTTGCCATAGAAAGCAGGTGGTAGTATACACACCCTTAATCCCAGCACTAGAGAGGATTATAAAACAGGAGGAGACAGTTCTCATTCAGTGTCTCATTCTGAGATTCCTAAACGTAGGATCGCCAGTTTGGACTGAGGTAGAGGTAAGAGCCAGTGGCTGACTGTTTTGCTTCTCTGACCTTCAGGCTGAATCCCAATTTCTGTCTCTGGGTTTTTATTCATGGTGCTACACTAGTGTTAGTGGATCTAAGGCAAATCAGATCGCCAGAATGTTCTTCATCAAGCACAAAACCAAGTAAGGTGATAGGAGGGCATTCCATTGCTGTGTTACCCTGTATCTACCCCTCAAGAATGATGAGCACATGGAAAACCAGTCCTAAGTGAGTCTCATTAACACGGTGATGATGCAGGCTAACACTTGTATCGCTCTAATCAGTTTACAAATTACCTTAGGAAATTACTCCCTCGTTTAGTTTTCTAGCAATCTCCGAGCTCAGTTACTAACATCACTTTATAGGTGAAGAAATGGACATTTGGGGTGAATGAACTAATGTGCCCCAGATCAGAAAATGTCAGCACGGGAATCTGAATCTGGTTCCAAACCTTGTTTTCTTGCCATGGCCAAAACAATCTATGTGCGTGTCCATCTAGATCAATAATGTGTGTTAATGAAGCATTGAAGCCAGGAAGTTCCCTCCCACCTGTGGATCACCTACTCATGATCAATCGAATCTTCCTGCCCCAACTTTTGGACTCCTCAAAAATAGAAAAGGAACCATGAAGGTACTTCCTTCCACCTGTCAGTCAACAGAAGACAAGATCAAAGACAGAGTACTTCTACAGCAGGAATGGATATGGCTTCACCTGGAGAGTCCCCACAGCCTTTTCCTGAGAGGTCCAATTTCAGTCTTCTGTTCTGCAGCCAAGGGCTGTTTGAACAGAGACTCTCAGCAATTACCCTTCTCAAGACATGCCAAGTGACATGGCTGTCCTGTTTGGACGCGTTACTGGCATTTTCCCAGAACTGATGGTAAGGACAATAAAAATATATTCTTGAGATGCAAGTAGACCAACACAAATAATCTTCCCATTCCTCTGAGCTCTGGGAATGAAGGACTAAACGATAAAAAATTATTTTCTTTTGTGATATGTAGTGTATGCATGTGTGTGTGCGCGTGGTGTGTGTGTCTGTGTGTGCACGTGCGTAAGCACATGTGTGTAGTCTAGGAACAAATGTTGGGTGTCTTCCTCACCTGCCACCCTGCTTTTCTCAGAGTATCTCTCAATAAACCTGGAGGTTACTGAAATCGACTGGCCAGCAAGCCCCATGATCCTCCTGTCTTGCCCAGTGTCAGGATGATAAGAATGCACCATTGTGCCCATGCTTAGCTTTTCACACAGCGTTGGGAATTTGAGTTGAGATTCTCATGCCTACAGGGCATATACTTTACTGACTATGCCATCTCTCCAGCTCCAAAAATTTTTGCTACAAAGTGGTTAAATTTGTTTCTTCTTAAAACAACTTTGATGCTTTCCCCTTTGTTATAAAAACTGAAAAAAACAGAGAAAGAAAAATATTAATGAAAAAAGAGGCCATGATATTAAAGGATGAGGGGTGTGTCGGAGGATTTGGAAGTAGGAAAGGGAAGGGAGAAACATTATAATTGTGTTATAATCTCAAAAATAAAAAAATACATTTCTACAAGCCTACAATAACTTTTAGAGAAGACATATTACTAAATATTAGAGAAGTAATTAATCACATCTTTCCAAAGAAACTGATTTTGTTGATATAAAGTACAAAAACAAGCAGATACATTGCTCTCCAAGATTATCAATACTGTCAATTTCCTCAAGTTAATGATTAAACATTGGTCAGCTATTATATCACCCGGAAAATTAATGAGCTTGATTCTCCAAATCATTTCGTGTACTTTGGGAGAGGGAGTGCTGTTGTGGTTCCTAAGAGGGAGACTAATCTCTCATTTGCATTTTTCTGTAGCTCTGATTTCTTCTTATGATCTAGGTTTTCAATTCCTAAGTCATCTCTTCCATACCACTCTGTCACTAATGCTTGACCTTCAGAGTCCCCTTATCCTAAAGAGGATGATGATAGAAATATTAAAAGGTAAGTCCATATTTCTTATATGTTGTATCTTTCATGAACAATATACACTCTATACCCTGTCCTTAGGATGCACGACCACCTGAGCAAGGTCCCTTGTACTAGGTATTAGTCACTACAGGAACAATTCAATAAAAAGCTGAAGTGAACAAACCCCTCTAACACACCCACCTGGCATGTCACTGAAGCTGACATATTGTCATCTTCCTGCATCTAAGTTCTTCCGACCCACTTAGCCTTGTCAACAATGAATCAAAGAAAGATCACTGGGACAAGGTGTAAATACTACAGATTGATGGAATTAGGACACAAACTGACTTCTAAACAAAAGGGATTCCCCCAATCGGAGGGAATTCGGTGGGAACTCTCTTCCCTTTCTGACCCTAATGCTGGTTACCCTGCTGAGAAGTATAGCTGAATTTCACTTGGTACAGTTCTAATCTGCAGACCAAGCATCCAGGGCATTGCATCATTTGCCCACTACCATGAACTAAGGCTGTAGCAATGGCTTCCTCCGAGTGTGTGGTTTAGACAGAGACCACAGGAATATGAGGTTTTCATCACTTCACAAAGAGGAACAGGGACTTCCAAAGGCAAGCTGTGTTGAGGCACAAAGGATTTCTGGCTGTGCTATATTTCCAGGGCCTTGGGTCAGTGTAAGAGTGCACGGGTCATGGCAGAGACTGGGGAAGATGCCATGGACCAGCATCGGTTAATTCAAAGTTCAAATTTGATTGACACAGACAGTTAGGAAAGGGGGCTGGCTTCTTTTTCTGGACTATATCATGAGCTCCTTTCTGCTGCGTACTAAGGCTTGCCCCAATAACCTGAAAACACAAGGACAAGATGGCATGGTGGTTCATATCAATAATGCTAGGGGACGAAACTGAGACGGGGTGGTATGAGTTCTAGGCTAGCCTGGCCTATACAGACTCTGTCTCAAAAAAATAAGTATGATACAAACAAATTTTCAATGTAGCATCCTTGAACTTAAGATTTCACATTTCTACAGGAAAGAAGAATCTACGGTCTACTGCGGGCCAACTACCAAGATGTTAAAGTATGGGCATAGCCTCTGGTTAACTACCTGACAGTGTCTTACAAACCCTGCAGTCTTTAATGGCAAGCTTCTGAAAATAATGCACAAAGATCCTATGCTCCCTCGCTGCCACACTTGGAAGACAAACCTAAGGGAATAATGCCAGGAAAGGTCAGCCATACCTTTCTGCCTGAAGCCCTCAGCCCCCTGGAGATCTGTCAGTCCCTGGTGATGTCTCTATTTAGTGCTGTCAGTGGAGACGGGAGAGGCACAGAGGATTGCTAATGACTTCTGCTAACTGGAGCACAGAGGGGATGCTGACTGTAGGCTAGACATGCTCCCTTCAGGGAAAAGGAGTCATAACCCGATGTGTGAGAGTGAGAGGAAGCAGAGAGGACCATGGGATATTATTCATCAGCATCGCCATTTCCATCACTTTGAATCCATTCTGCTGTTCTGCTCTCTGTGCTGCGGGGTGGAGAGGGAGAGCCGAGTTACCCTATGCCTTTATCTTCTGCTGATTTTAGTATCAGTGCGGCTGAAGCAAATACACAGGGGCCCTCACAACCCAAGATGAACCGAGGGGGAGGCGTGTCTGAGAGGAGAGAATGGTTCAAGTTCACTGAAGAGAAAAACAAAACATCAGCTTCCTGTTTGATGAAAGGATGGTGAAGACCACATGGACGGTCCACAACAAACCTTGAAGGAGGAATCAATTACCTGGAACCAAGATGGAAATTACAGGTGATCCTAACAGAGCAGCATCTCCCCAGAATTATCACGGGAGCGGGCATGATGGGATGAGCATCTTTTGCTTTTCGACTTAACGTCACTGGTAGTTAACACAATCCCTACTTCTGTGCAGCTGCAATCCGTCCAGAGAGCGATCTGTCTCCCGGTTCTCTTATCTCAC